CAATGTATACAATCTGTCGAAAAAATTAAATTTACATTTTTAAAAATTAAATCGTGAAAAACTATGCATTTGAGTGTAATTGAAAGAGAACATGTAAAAATAACAATGTGCTTTGTGGATGTGGCTGAATTATACTAAAACTGTATTCTTATAAATTATTCCTCTGTTTTGTAATGTTTTGACAATATAAAGCCAATTACAAACGAAATATTTGTTGGAAGCTTTGAACAATTAAAAAGAGAATCTACCTTTTGAGTTGGTTTCTTATGAAATGAAAACATTGTAAGACGGGCATTCCATTCAAGTTCAACAAGGCAAGAATCCCTGTCTGCCTTTTTTCCAGGAAGAAAGGGAATCCAAACTTTATTGGACCATTAGCTTCAGCATGCTTTCAGATTTGGCATAATTTTAACAGGATACTAAAATTGTCAAAATTTAAAGGGTTAAAAAAATCCTCCAAAGAGCAGGACTGGTTGGGTTGCCTATTCCCTGGTCTAAAAACAAAAGTGAATTCTGTTCAGAGTGAATTCTTTAACTGTATATGTGCAAGGAATTTGTTGATAAGATGGGTTGTTAAACTATAGATTACAGAGATATTCACATACACACCCCTTTTTTTCCCCTAAACCAGAGGAATGGAATCTGAAGGTCTGGGATAATATGTTGACAGAACATGGAAAACAACCTAGAGAAAACTGAACACTTGGAATTAAAAATTGTTGAAAATATCTTTAGGAATATCTATTTCTGTATTTGAAAAAATGTCAAGTAGTATGTCACCCAGTTAAAATAGAAAAAGATCTTGACAGTTTGAAAGAAAGACAAAAAGCTCATGAAAATTTGAATGAAGTATTTCAGTAATGTCAGTATTAGTTGCATTTGTGTTAAGTTAACCAGAGAAACAAGTTAGAAAATCAGATTTTGCTATCTGTTTAAAGAATTGTGTTTTGTAAATGCCAGGAGATTAAATTTCCTTTTATGATGTTGAAATCATATTTAGGAGAATTTTGCTAGATTTTTGTCCAAACATCCCCAGATTACCATGACATAAATAATGCTCTTGGTCCAGATCAAGACCATCAGATGTATGAATGTCTTTCCCTTTGGCAATTCTTAAAGTGACCCAGGAATTTCAAAAGCACACATCAAGTGGGTATGTGTACATACTTGGGGAACTGGAAGAGGAGACTTTGGGTATGTAGGCCCAAGTAAAACACTCAAGTGTTCCACATGATGAGTGAAAATAGACTAACCTTCCTCCCAAAACTAATTTTGTTACAATCCCAGGAATGCTTTTCCTGCATGAGAAATTTCAAATCCATCTCCCTTGTATCACAGTTTTTGTTGGATTTAAGGATTGCAAAATGAGCACTGAAAGGCTCCGCAAACAATGATTTCCCTACAGAGTTACTAAACTCATATATTTAATAAAATTTGTGGGGTTAAATCTTAGGGGAGTTTTCATTCTTACTAATATAGCTTAGATAGGCCAGGAAAAAATGAATGTATAACTTCGGCTTCCGCCATCCAGTAGTTTGAATGGAGTCTGGGGAGGCCTACCCTTGAGGTCTTCAGCCAAATCCTAGAGGCTACTAAGGGTCAACTCAGTTGTTCCTCTTATTTCCTCCTTCTTGTTTAATATGAATAATGAAGCCCTAATTTTAGAGGAACCCTTAACGAGCTAATGTAGTTCACTCATTTTGCAGATGATGACTTCAAGGCCAAGGCAATGAAAAAATGTGACTGTGTCTTGGACTCCTAGGCAGTGTCTTGTCAAATCTACACACTGACTCCCAGTGCAGACCATAAGAGGACACTTAGTGTCTGAAGAAGCAAGAGATGATCACAGTCAGGGCTCAGCCAGTTGGACATGTTTTCTCCTTTCCCAAGTTCCTGTTTTTATTAGGAATGTATTTAAAGGGGTTTTCTAAATTCATGCTATTATTTTTATTCCATGTATAGGAGTGAATATAGTAATCTTAAACTGGCAGAGGCCACTATAGTAATGGGACTAGGAAGTAGTGAAGAGGTCTGGTAGAGATGAACCAATTGGGGTTGCAATACACATGTGCATGGAAACAACACTAGGAATCTGTATAGCTATCCTTATCTCAAACTAGCAAAAACACTGTTTTTCTTACTATCTTTTCTTTAACAAAATCATATTCATTTCTTCAACAGACATATTGAGTGATGTAGGAGCATGGATTTAAGAAAATCAACTTAGTTCAAGGATTCCAAAGAAATTTTCCCTGACAAATTAACTTGCTCAAAGTCAAACAGCTAATAAATGGTGGAGTCAGAATTTGAGCACAGACTTCCTCACTCTAAAACCCGTGTTCTTGTTCCTCAAAGCAATACTTTGAGAAAAGTTTTTTGATGGTTTGACTTTGTATCTCTACTAAATATTTATTCCCCTCCTTGTATCCAATCTAATGAAAATGAATAAAAGAGTGGTATAGTTGCCCTTCTTGGTTGCCCTGCTGGTGAATTGAAAGTATTACTTTAAATTTTTAGTTCTGTTTAACCTTTGCAAATGCTTAGAATGACTAAAGTAGAAAAACATTGTTTCTCTTCCATGAATAGTTTCATTTTCTTATTTTCTGGACTAAGTATTTAGACTTTGTTCTTTGAACAGTAACTACTACAGCTATATTGTAAAATTAATATGGAGGCAGCCATATGAAGGACCACGTATACCTTTGGTAAATAAATCTAGGCACACATGTTCTACATGGGAAAACAACATTTCTGAGTATTCTGCAGAAACATATAAATAACATTGTGAGGTTACTTTGCTTAACATGAACATTTGATTTGAAGACATTTTTATAGTTGATTTATTATGAAGACTTCAAGGATTTAAAGAGTTAAATTAGTAAATTTCTGAAGTTATATTTTGCATATGGGGCAGCCACTTCTGGGAGGATGTTACTTCTCTGAGTGCCAGTTTTTGAGAATCAAAGCTGATTAAATATCATTGGTGTGCCCAATACCTTTCTTTTTCAAAGTTGGGACCTATACTATATCTCTGAAAATGTATTCTGGAATTGTTGAGAACATAACCACTAATAGACTGTTTAGCATTTGCAGGAGACTTTTTTGTTTCCAGGATTTCACAATGATTGCCTTTAATCCCTATAATATCTATGTGAGGTAGGTAGATGCATTCAAGTATCTAAGTCTCCTGTAGGGGAATTTTGGTGCCAGCAGGGGTATTGTGATTGGCACTGACTTTTCCTGATTTCCCAGAGGCCACACACCTGCAGAGGCTTTCCTGAAGGCCCACGTATACTCCAGTGTTTCAGCCACATCAGACTATCTCCTCATTCCTCCTGTTATCTTATGGGATCCAATGACTTCATGCACCATGAACCATAATGCTGCACTGACTGTGTCATTCTGCACTAACCCATAAAGGAAGGGTATGTTCTGGAAGATTACTAAAGGGCCCAGTGAATGTTTTACTTCCTGTGTAGCAAGTGTCAACTGTTGACACCTCCATCATACCAACAAAGTACTTGGTTAATAAATGAGCACCCAGAATTTCTTTTTATGAGTTTGTAATATAATCTGCCAGGAAGAAAGTATTTATACCTAGTGATTAAATTACTGACAAATGAGTATTGATTAAAGCATAATGCTAGCAGATACATATTGATTTGAGGCACTGAGATAAACATGGTGCACTTTGTCATATCCTTAAAACAGTGTTGTGAAGTAAATATTGTCATCCTTATTTATAGATGAGAAAATCTAGGCTAGTAGGTTGTCCATGATCACAGTGCTGATAAAGAGCAGAGCTAGAATTTAAATTCAGTTCTGTCTGATTCCAGAGTCAGTTCTTCAATCACTTCATGACACTGCCTTATGTGGAGGTTAACGGACCATTTGTTAAAGACCTGAACAACATGCAGTAAAGAAGCATGAGAGCTAGGCCAGACTAAACAGGCACAGACTGATTTAATTTTTTATAAAGCAAAGAAAAACCATGAAAAATAATTGTTGTCCACATCATAGTGTATATATCTTTTCATCTTTCCAGGCACCTATCATAACTTGCCTCCAGTGAAAAGTATTTGTGTGTTTTATTGCTAATTTCTTGGAAAAGGGACTGTGTTTTATTCATCCTATGTGTGCATATATTTACTAATGCTTAAAATCTTAAATGAAATGAATAGTCTAAAACTACTGATAAATTAGGTTTTAAAAATTAGTGGAACTTTTATTGATAAAAAAAGACATGGCAAAATAGTCAGTTGAAACAAGACTCCCTTTCATTGCAGACTTCTAGATCCTTAGTTCTCCCAAGAGTCATTACCAGTCCTAGTTTCTTGTGGCTCTGTTCAGAAATATCCAGTGTGTATATTTGGACATCTGTGAGGTGTATGCATGCACATTGATTGACTTGAATGATAGTAATCAAGTCCTAAATACATTGTTAATCATAGAACTATATACTCTAAAGATATTTTATTATATGTATTATGAAATGATTTCCTTGCATAAATGGATAGTTATGATCGTACTTTTAAGAAAAATATATGTATGCATTATTAACCATGTCCTTAAAAGAAAACACTGACGTGAGTCCAATATAATTCTAATATAAGGTGGTCACAATTTAAGTATCTTAATCTTTAGGGTTCCTGAGATACATATGAGAAAAAGTAGTAAGACATTAACTTTAAGAATAGATCCAAAGGCCCCTTATAAAGTTTTTCTATACTTCCAAGTATCCTTCTTACAAGTGATAAAAGTTACATAGACATTATGCATTAAAGAGTAGGCATTATTTTGAAATAAAGAGAATAGTGTTATATTTTGCTTGTAATCTATGTTTTCAGAATTAAAGATGATAACATGAGGTTAATTGGCTTATGTTAGAAATTAAATATGAGACATGAAAAACAGAAAAAACTCTCAAAGATTTGAGCATTTTAATATTTTGATTTAAAAGTGAAGTTGCTAATTCTTTTATTTTTGTTTTCTAATTTTAGGTTTTAGTATAAAGGCAGTGCCATTCCAGAATGCCATCTTGAATGTAAAAGAACTTGGAGGTATAACATTTAAAATCCTTTCTATCTCTGGCCTTAACTTCACTAATTTGATAATCATGTATTATATGTAATTAAAGCATAATTCTTTATTCCAGATGATTCATTTTTACCTTTTCTCTTGATGATACAGTTCCTAGAAATATTTCCTTCTTTCTTTAAATATGTTTTAAAAGTTGTTAGTCTTTGTAACATAAACTTTGCTTTCTTTGGTATGAGTCAAAGAACTACATTAATGACAATTGATATGGCATACTTAATGGTTTTGCTTGAGAGAAGTTTAAAATCATTAAAAAAACACCGAGGGTAAAGAATTGTGTTTTAGTTTGAATTTATTCTGCAAGTTTGATTGTATTCACTCTTTAGGGTATATTTGTTCTGATAATAAACCTTGCCAATGGGTTCTTTGCTGGCCAAGCACATTTATTGGATAGGCTGTACCCCAAAGCATACATCACTCAGTCTTTCATTACACTCTCTGTCTGGCACTTTTTTGGTTGTGTTTTATGTCAGCCAGGGTCTTAACCCATGTAAATAGATTAACAAAGAAATCAGTCAATTCAGTGAACCTACTAAATTCTCTAATGGCACAGGAAAATGGTGAGTGCCTCGAGTTTAGTATAATATCTGTGAGTTTAATGACTTAGAAGAAAGTTCTCTTCTATCTCTTTAATTACTTTGTGATATTGACCTTACCCTGTTTTGTTTGGGTTTTTTTTTTTTCCTTCTATTCTCCTTTAGAGCCAATCTAATTATGACCTATTTTTAGCTTGATGAAATTTAAACATGAACTTTAATGCCATTTTTAATGTTTGGTACCTTCTTAGTTTTATCTAATAAAATGTTGACTGATCTTTTCAAGTGACTGTTTTCAGAGCAATATCTAGGACAGATTGTTTCTGTTAGTTGGTTTTACAGCTGTCCTCAGCTTTTACAACAAAAATATTGAAAAATATGATTGATAAATTCTGATTTTCCTTTAAAAATGTTTGACAATTTTTTGACTTTAAAAATCATATAACATGAATATTCTTACAATGACTTTCTTATACAAATTTTTAAAATACTTTTTAAGATTTAGTATTTTAATACTGCTGGGTTTCTGGTGGCTGTTTCTTTCTTAGTGCCAGTAATATTATTTATGGATATTTCATAGTCAGAGAACATATTATAAGAATCTAGAGTATCTAAATGTATGGTTTGAGAGTCCTATTGATTTTAAGTGTAGCTGGGACATAGTATTTTATTATTGGATCAGACATGAAACTTTTATTGAACACCCACAGGTGTAAAAAACTGATTAGTTGCTAAGGTATTTATTCTGCAACTTATTTATTTGGATGAGATCAATAGTGAAGGTCTCTGGACAGTTAAGAAAAAAAAAAGAGCACTTAAAGGGATTTATTACAGCCTTGGCTCTGTGCCACTGAAATTCAGTGTAGTGAAAGACCAAGTTGGAAGGTTAGGGGTGCATAGGGTAGGGATTGGTCTGTTCCCAAGCAAAGTGTAATTTTGCTTAATAAACTGTGCCCAAACAGTACTAAAATGGGAATTACACTAGAAAAGATACCATAGGATTTATTGATAACATTTTAGTTTGCATCTATTTTGCAATGAGTTAAACCTCAGGGAATGGACCAGATATGTGAATTCCAGACTAATGATATGTGGATTTTGTGTATGCATTAGTATTAAAGAGCAAATTTCCAGCCTAAGCATAGATTCTTTTACCTCCCTTCAACTTGAATAGCTCTGGTTTCAGTTGAGAGACTATCTCAAGGAAAAGGTGGCTTTCAGAATAGCCCGTGTCACAGCCTCACTGGTGAGCAATAAAGGGAGTTGGTTCTTTGATGATTCACTCACTAATGCATTTATTGAAATTTTTTTGGACTGGGTACGAGTCCCAAGAGCAGGTAGACTCACTCATATAAGGAAAATACAGCTTTCCTGGGACTTAAAGTATATTGTAGGTGCCTAGGGGATCACCTCCATGTAAGGTGTTAGGCATGAAGGGAGAACCATGACCTACTGAAATCAAGTTGTCTAAGAGCTACTTGACTGAGAATTTTTAAGTTTGGGAGAAAAGAGTGTTTTAGGACCACTGGGGGAAGACAGGAAACCTGTGTAGCATTGTTTACCTAGTTTATTTGAACTTTATATAGGTTATTTGAAGTTTAATAAAATTGTCAGTGTAGGGAGAACTTCGGCATTCAAGTCTTACTGCGGAATGCATGGGTAGGTGTCTTCATCCTGGGGTTAACTCAGGAGGATGGCCATGTTCCTCCCTGCTGACCATTGCAGGTGACTCTAAGGCTTTCCATCACTCCCCTTCCCAAACTTAAGTTAAATTTCTCACTTTTTCAAGGTAAAAAGGCCATGAACTTGTGCTCCTTGTCCAGTAAGAAGAAATGGTAAGGGATGAAAATAGCAATGATAAATGGAGTCACTTTTGGAAGATCACAGTAATAAACTATGTGTATTTACAAACACATGTGCACATGTGTATATATTATATATATATATGTTAAACATAAGTAAACTTATACCAATAGTTAATATTATGATCTTTACAATTTTCTGTCTTATGAAGGTACTTCCATGTTTTTTTGTCTTAAAAAAAATCTCACCATATCCTTCTGATATGGTGTTTTCCTACCATTTACTCAGTTGTCCTATCACAATTGAAAATGATGAAATTAAGGGGAGAAAAACCCTAAAGTACAAGGTTAAAAATGACACAAAGATATTCCAGCCTGGATGTATGATGGGCCAGTTCATTTTTTGCTACTTTAAGAATTTTTTAGCCAGATGTGGTGGCTCATACCTATAATTTCATCTACTCAAGAGACAGAGATTGGGAGTTCAAGGTTCAAGGTCAGCCTGGGTAAAACATTAGCAAAATCCCATGTCAACAAATAAGCTGGATGTAGTGGGTCAAGTTTATAATCCGAGCTGGGAGAAAAGTATGAAACCCAATCTGAAAAATAAAGCACAGGGGGCCGAGGGTGTGGCTCAAGTGGTAGAGTGCCTGCCTAACAGGTCCAAGGCCCTGAGTTCAAACCTTAGTACTGAACAAGAAGGAGGAGGAGAAAAAAGAGGAAGAGGAGAAGAACGGCTTGCTCTCTTCACCTTACCTGCCACACCCATCAGGCCGCACTGATTATGCTTAATTATACATGAAATTGGAACACTAAATTTTCTTCTGTTTTTCTCTTACTGCTTCTTCTCTCCCTCCACCTTTTTCACTTAACCTTTGTAACATCATAGCTAGAGAGTGAATGCTGTTATCTCACAGATAAGACGTCTGATACCAAGACTTGACTAGGGGCGTTTGGAGAAGGTGTGCTTAACCAGTAAACCAGATGCATAAAGCATTTTGCCCAGTCCTGGCTCTAGAGAATTGCTCCCACATGTCATCTGCTGCTGCTTTTGTCATTATTATCTGTGCCACTGAAAGTCTTCACAAGTTGGTGTTTCTTCCATTAGCACTCTATTGATAAAACACCATCTTTACGAAACATGAACACCTTGCCCTCTGCCCAAAACCTTTTATGGAACTTAATCTCTGAATTATTGTGGCTACTTCTGTCATCTAGTTTTCCTCCCCTGTCAGTCTTGTATTTTGAGGTCTTTTGGGTCAAGCTCTTGCTCAGTTCTGATTCTGGCTGACTTCTTTGATTTCATCAAGACCTCCCCCTGCATCGTTCTTACTGCTATTTCCAAACTTTCTAGAATCTCCCACAATCATTGCATTTTCATACTCTTTTCTTTTTTTTCCTTCGTATTTACTTATTTGACAAATATTTACTGGGTGTGTATTATTTGCCAGGCTCAATTCTATGGGTTGTGGTGGCTGTAATGCTCAAGACAAGCTCTGTCTCTGTATAAGCCAGGTGATAGGCACACAATGGTGGATTGGGGAGAGATTGCATATTTTCTTTCCTTAATTAAAGCTAAATATTGATTCCTGTTGGCCTAGAGAAATTCCTGGGTTAATCTTTTCATCTCTGAAGGAATTTCCTAAGACTGTCCTGCAGGGCCAAGTGTTAGTTCTGATGCCATGAGGGCATTCTGTAGTATGTTCCATTGCTCTGCTCACTGAACTACTTTTCCCTATATGTTCTTTCATTCACATGGCTTTCACTGGAGCTAATCTAAATCTCTTCTCTTTTAGTCTGAGTTACTCTACTTGTTTTGCTTTTTGTTTGTTTGTTTTGCTACAGGGTCTCACTGTTTAGCCCAGGTTGGCTGGAAACTTGCTATCTTCTTGTCTCAGCTTCCTGAGTGCTAAGATTATAGGCCTGTACCACCATGCCCTGCTCTTCTGCTTGCCTTACGCTGGATTTTCTTTCTTTCTTTTTTTTTTTAAGTCTGGTTTTTGTACGAGGCACCTACCAGGGATCCTGGGTGGACAGCTGGATTAGTCTTTTAAAAAAATTTTTCAGGGACTTTTCCTTCTCTAGTGACTTATTTCCAGGCATAGTCATTCTGTATGATTCTGGGTGCATCCATCGTCTGGTATCTTCCCTATCTGTAAAACAGCAGTATTAGCTCCAGTATCTTTCTGAGGACTAAATTAGTTAACGCAGGCCAAGTAAGTACTTAGAGCTTGCCTGGCCGGTAGCTACCATTATGCAAGCTTTGCTTTCATTGTAATTACACTCTCACTACTGACTCGTCCAACCAAAAAAAGAGATACCTTTCAAAAGCCTTTTTTCCCAGGGTCTCTCAAAATAACACCCATCACATATTGTTTTTTCTCTCTGTGGTCTTCTTTTTCCTTCATTGTGTTATACCTGTTTAAACTGAAAAGTCTTTAGGTAGAGACTCAATGGGAATGATTGCTTAGTGGCTTAGCATAATTTAGGTACTGCACATGTGAGTTAATATTGATATTCTTGCCTCCTTCCACCTTGTAACCTTTAGTTCTCTTTTCAGATTTCACCTGAAAACTCTTTGCCTCTTAGTTCCTTTTGTCCTTTGTCATTTAGCACTGTTCTGAG